CAAAATTTGTTATTGAGAGAAAATTGAAGATGTGGAATTTTGCCAAGGTGGAGATTTGTTGATTGTCAAAGTCCCACATCGGTGGGTGACAATTTAGGGTTGGGAATTTTTTCCTATAAAAGGAGGCCTAATGTTTAGGATTTAAATACACCTCTCATTTGTCTTCTTATCTTCTTAAGGCATTTGTATCTTCTCTCTTTAGTATTATTTCACTTGTATTTTTGGAGTGAAATAAAATATTGGTTGTGTCCGAGGAGTAGGCAAAATTAGCCGAACCTCGTAAATTCTGGTGTTCCTTTTATTGTTGCTTTATTGTCTTATTTATTATTTGGTGGCTGTCATAATTTTTGGTATAGTAATTGTGACTTATTTACACTATATACATTTGGCTTCCGCAACAGATTATACGTTTTGGAGGTACTATACGTTTTGGAGGTGTAATTGCACCTCCGCATTATAGCCTAACACAATGTAACAAGCAACAATTTTACTCCATCCATTCTATTTTAATTTTCATGTTTGCCTTTTGCACGCCCTTAAAAAATATTAATTAAAAGCATAATTTGACTAAATTACCCTTATTTATTTTTTGGTCACAATTTATTACTACTTGTTTTTACTACATTAATCTCTTTTCACATTTTAGAATAAGGATAAAGGAAAAAATAATAATCTATTCTTTCTTGATTTTCTAAAATGACAAGTATTTAGGAACAATTTTTTTAAGTAAACATGACAATTAAATGAGAACGGAGGGAGTATCTAGGATTCAATATCGAACCTCTAATGCATAACTTATCCAAACGATAAGGGTCGTAAAAATGTATATATTAGGATGGATGGGTAATAATACAACATTGGACAAATAAACTTGGCCACGTGGCCAAGGGTATAAAGCGCACACACAGACAACAGATATAAAATAAGAGAAAGTTGCTTGCTATGAACTGTAATTTCTACATCGAACTCCAAATAAATCAGTCCATAGGTACGATACAACATAATTAAGTGTGCTAAAAAAAGAGGTAGACCTAAAATCAAATAGAAGAATTATTTCAAAAGAGTAACAATCTTTCAAAATCAAAGAAAATTAATCTAAAAACATCACACAATGGAAGCAAAGAATCCACATAAGCAATAAGTACTAACTAATTAGGATTGTCGTCCGCATTCTTCTCCGTCTTGTTGAGGTTGTGTCCCATTGTAAGAAATAAGTGTAACATTAAGAACATATAACTTATACTACATTATTTTATCCTATTAGATCAAGACTGGTCCAAATAGAATATAATGAAAATAAATAATTCATACAAACAATCTCAATTAGTTTGAAATTGAGACATAATTGATACATCGTGCACATCACCAACTTTTCAGTTTTCCACTATCAAGGATTTCCAAATTTGAGCTCATCTTTTTGTCATAAAAATTTTCAATTCTATTTCAAAAGTTGGCGGCCAACTATAAAAAGGTAGTTATCGTTTTCTCTTTTTATATTTTCATTTTTTGTCCAAGTGGAAGTAAGTAAAGCTTAGTACTCCAATAGGGAAATGAATGTCTTGTTAAGGGCAGAGGGAGTGATGCATTAGTTAGCATATACTGCAACCTGCACACAAACATTAATGAGAATGCAGGACAAATTTTAAAAACAAGACATAGTAAATAAGCGGGGTCCTCCGAACTTCATTCATTTCAAAATCTGCACACTCATTTAAGATCACCACGAAATGTATGAGCTCTACCATTACTCCCAATTTATTCACTACTCTCATTTTTTTTTTCTTTTTTGCTTTTTTTTTTTTTTGTTATATGAGGAATCAAGAACCAATAACCACACAGCTTTAGCAAGTACAAAATGAACGAACATATTTTATTTTGGGAGCTGAAATTTCGGGAGTTTTGGGGGATGGTGATATCCAATAACATGAAGGGGGTGGGTGGTGAGGGAGCAGAGGGACCTACTACCTTGATTGTTATATAGATTTCCATGTCCCATTTGGATGTCCTGTCCCCATCCTTCCCTGTAACGGTTGGAGGACTGTGTTTATGCTTTGCTAGTTCAAGCCCCCTTCCTCATCTCTGCAAAAAAATTCAATCATATTTTGAATTTAGAAGACAGAAAAATACAAAGATTTGTTTGCCACTCTACTAGGCACTTACGTCAATCTTGTATCTCAATTTTGTGCATTCACCAATCTTTTGAGAGTAAGAACCTTTTAGGGCCCTCCGCTCCTTCAGTCCTTAAGAAAACCATACAAAAACTGACGCACACCTCAAACAAGCACTTAAATGCATTTGTTTTTCTTGTCTTTGGTATGTCCTAATTCTTTTTGTAATGCACTGAGCCAACATCATGACACTTTACGTGCAAAAATAAAATGCCAATTAAAAAAATACACATCTTTCCACTCGAGCTGCTATGTCTAACCCAACCATACTCAATTTTCTAGTTTATGTGTCCTTCATCTTTGATGTCTAACTTCCAATCAACATAAACGGGTAAGTCACATGCAAAAGGTACATAATGCAAATGTGCAAGAAAGATGATTGTATTGTCAAGAATATGATTAATTTCTTTCCTGGAAGCTGCCCTTTTAGTTATCTAGAGGGGTAATTTCAATGAGGGTTTCCTTCAGCCTTTAGGTGATGGCGACTAGTGAGCAACTAAGGTGGTTGGCACCATGTAATTCCAAGCTCTCATTCCTAGCCCCACACCATATAGCAGAATGTCTTGACATCGGGACCCTAAAGCAAAGATAGTGAAACCTCAATAAACTTTTTTTTAAATAAGGTAAATTAAAGTGAAACCTCAATAAACTTTCTTTATTACTCCTATAAGGTAATGTAAAACCTCAAACTTACCCTACTAAATAGGGGGGGGTGACATCTTTTCATATTTCTCCATCTGCACCATATCTTTTTTTAGAAAGAAACAGAACTTCTCCATCTCACCATATTAAAGATAAATCCTAATAAAACTAGAGTAATAATGAGTCGTGAACTAGCAAGCACTCTAACTTCTGCAAACCATAGTAGTATGATCATTCCGAAGAAACACTGAGATACCTGTCTTGATTATTGAAAAACCAAAATTGAACAGCTAAAGGCGGATTACGACTGAATAAAATCTCCATAGAAATGTGACAAGTAAAGGTATTTTCACAGAATGCAACAATTTAAACTGATTCCATCAATATTCATTTTCTGTTCAATTCTAACTCCAGTTATATAACATAAAGAGATCTAGCTTGATCAGATGAACAAGTCTTGGATTTAATCATGCCTCAAGGCTTCAGTCACTATTATCAATCCCGTAAATGAGTTATTAGATAGTTATGTGTAAATAGTCCAAGTCTCATATGTAATAGGAATAGAATATGTCCTAGTCCCATATGTAGTAGGAGTAGAACATGTCTAGTCCCATATGTAGTAGGAGTAGAATATGTCCTAGTCCTATATGTCGTAGGAGTAGAATATGTATTGTATATAGGGCTCATTGCATCATTGTTAATAAATAAATTTTTCTCCCATGCATTCTCACATGGTATCAGAGCTCTAGTGAGAAAATTATCGTTGTGCGTCATTCTAGTGACATCCGGGAAGAAAGATCTCATCGCCATGCAATTTTCCGACAACTTCGTCTTGTTCCCCGGGTTTATCACTGCTACACCGGTATTGTGCATATACTAGTACCACCATTAGATCAGAAACCCTTGTGCGACCAAACCCCAGAAATTCCAGTCCCATTGGAACAGAAAAGTCAGCCACCGTGTGTCTTTTCGGTTGACGACTCAAGATTGATTTGCGTTATCTCCCCATCAATAAGTGTTGTGCAAAAACCAACACTACCATTTGGTTCGAAAAAGTCAGGCGACACAACCACAGTCAATCGCTCAAGAAGAAAGTCCTTCACGCGCCTCCACGCGCTGCCGGAACCCTGGTTCCGACGAGCTACAACAACTTTTCCGGCGCGTGTAAGCCATTCCAGCTTGACAAAACTTTTTCAGGACAACTTACTCGTCCAATGATTCCGATCTTATCCATATAAATTACATCAAATTCTGACAACTTTTATTTTTTCCGGCGTGAACAATAATTTCCAGAAAAGTTTGTTTTCTCTGGTGTTTTAGAATCTATTTTGTAGTGTGGAATTCGGTTTAGTCTCACTTTTTCAAATTTTTCCGGCGACCTTTCGGCCAACTTCTGTTTATCAGCAACCACCTGATTTTGTTGCTCAGGGGGCTCTAGCGGCCTTGTATCTCGAACGATCAGCTTGCAGATATTTTCACCAACTCCCTCACCTATCCTCGTATTAGTTACATATGTAACAAGCTCGGTACATATGATTTGTATGCACTGGCTTGAGGGGAGTGTTAGATAGTTATGTGTAAATAGTCCTAGTTCCATATGTAATAGGAATAGAATATATTCTAGTCCCATATGTAGTAGGAGTAGAATATGTCCTAATCCCATATGTAGTAGGAGTAGAATATGTCTTAGTCCTATATGTTATAAGAATAGAATATGTGTTGTATATAGGGCTCATTATATCATTGTGAATAAATAGATTTTTTGCATTCTCACATGAGTGTTCATGGAAGGTGGACCCTCTAATTATTCGTGAATAAAAAGCCTGTTACAAATGTTTTCATAAAGGTATTACTAGTTATCTTCTTTTTTTCTAAAAATTTTGCTACTAATATTTTCTTGTGCTAATCATTATAAATTGCCATTATGCTCGCAAGAGTCTACCTTTTTTAGGTTTCTTATAGTGCTTGATACAAAAGTCCACAATTTAGGATATACATTTTAGGTGTAGTAGTTTTTCCTGTTGTCCCTTATCCACAAACTAGAGAACTGAACATTAGAGAACATAAGTTTCAAACTATGTTGCATGAACTTGGATATGAGCATGTACAGGTAACTGGTAAGTACTTGGTTGGATAGGTTAAACCTTTAGCAAACTTTAGTGTATCTTGAAGGATCTATATGAAGTACCTATACCCATGTTATACCTGTTTGGCACAAGTGTATATATCAAGGCAAATGAAGAGTTTATGTAAGATGGACTTCAGCGAATCGTAAGTAAAAAGAACTTACAACTTAAGTATATTCGGAATATCACTTGTCTAATTAAAGTAAACAGTTTTAGGTTCATACGAACCAAGTGACAGCTAAGTGATCATCGACTTATTCCATTTGCACCAGAAATTTCATGGTTCTGAACCTACTAACGCATTTAAGAACTCAAACAATCAAGGGCTTTGGAAGATCCTAACACAAACATAATGCTCCATCAACAGGTAAGATCATCAACATGAATGGCTGACTGAAACAGATGACAACCTATTGACACATCCCTAATGTGGTTTATATAGCAAGGATTCAGCTTTGGAAGTCTACGAATAGAATACTGCTTTAATATCATTTGAAGTGGGTCAACATATAAAGCATCAATCTTAAACAAGCAGTGCTATAGCAGTGATAAGGGCCTGAATCTCGAATATCCTGAAGTTATTCATCACTGGAGGTACAGGAGCTTTTGAAAAGTAGGAAACTGAGTAACAGGATGAGGAAAAATAGAGGAGAAGACTGATCAAATTATAGCTTGAATTGAAGAGAAAAAAAAAGGATAAATCAATCGAGCTACTACGTCTCAATCCCAACCTAGATGGAGTAGCTGATATGAATCCTCTATATCAGGACCCAATTCATCCCAATGTCGGTAAGTAACCAGACATGATGTTTGTCGTTTAAGACAAATTAGGGTTCTATAAAACTAGTGGTTCTTTAAGTCTTACAATTATCCATACCCAGGCATAATATAAAATGACAACTAGGCCTGAATCGTATTGCCTGCAAGGGTTCTTTGCTTCAATTTTGTTCCATTAAAAATGTAAATAAAGAAAAAAAATGTATACATAAAGAGAAGACAACTTAGTGATTGGTGAAAAAATATATGAAGGGACGACAGAAGTATCATATATAGCAGACAGATATACTAGCTTCATTGATGTAGAATCTCTTGAACAAGGGGTACAGGGTCTTGAACTGAGATGAGATTGTTGTAAAAGGAAAATCTTAAAGGAAGTACTACCTCTCAACATGTGCATCTGCATGTCAAAAACCAACTTTAAACCTGAAGAAGCTTTTCATTTTTTCCTCCCTTCTATTAAAACCAATGGTCGGTGCTCTTCATATTAACGGAAGTCTCTATAATTAACTGACAAATACAGGTTAGTTCCACTACAAGAATCAGGATCTTCCCTTTCATCATTGACATCTTTATAGTCATCTACTCATAGTAATTCATGAATTTTTGTGCATCCGCCGACATCATGTCAGAAACACTAACACTACTTACCTGCTAACTTCCACCAGCATGGATTACTTGTTATTAGATGACTCTATCGAACAAAGTTTAGACGGATGGGAATAAATCACCTAGCTCTTTTTATCTCGGTTGGAATTTGAACCAAACTAACAACTTAAATATTTAGATGAGATGGACACAATTTAACATGATATTGCTCTCATTTGTCATCTATAAAAAGAATCTCTCCAACTGCTTGGTCAAAGAATCAATCTCACATGTGCAGGCCCTGCTGGAAACAAATATGAATGCATGTATGAATTAATCAATTAATAGAAGTATCAAAACATCATTAATGCTTCTTATACAAAAAAACAAGCATGTCAGGATCTCCATATCCAAAGGAGTCGAAGAGTTTTGAATTTGTAATTTAATGAATAAATATACATCTCAACATAATAACTAACAACTTGAATTTGTTATTGAAGTGATGAGTAAAGAAATTGAGTCCTAACCTTGCTTATTAAGGCACAATGCTGCAAATGTAGCAGTTAAAATATTTTCAAAAATAGATCCAAGAATGAATAATTTCACATCAAGAAGTTAATCGACTACACTATTTGTGAAAATGCAGGCAATTGCATTTTTGTTATATTAACAGACTGGAATTAAGAAAAAGATAGAGACTTATTCTTTCATGCATGAACAACCTATGAAAATCAGTGCATCCCCATCAGTAAGTCATTGGATCACTATATCGGACAATTGATAAGTGTGCCACTCACTTCATAGAAACCTCTCAATAACCTTTCATTTCCAGGATCAGATGCTAGCACTATAGGTGAAGACATTTCCTACGAGGAGTGTACTCAATATGCCAAAGGAAAAGACCTCCTAAAACCAGCTGAAATGTTAAACAAGTTAAACAAACAAAGCATAATTGATCCAACAGCAAATAAGATGAGATCAAATTAGCTTGGAAATTAGGACAGCCATGAGAAAATGGTAACCAAACATAAGTTTCTAAGCTTTTGTACACCTTGATGCAGGAAGACATAATGAAAATAATACCAGCGTCTAAGACGTTAAAACTCCAAAGAAAATAACCTGCTGGACTGATTCTATAGCGATCACGAAATTGAAGATGAGCCTAAAGATTTAAACCATGAAGTAAGGAAACGAGGAGACAACTTGGTGAGTAGTACTCACTGAGTACATATAGAAGTTGCATCTTTTGACTTGCTTGCATTTATCATTGAGAATATAAGACTAGGTACCTGTCTAGTAGTATTATAACTTCTAGAAAAGTACTTTTCGACTATAACTTCAAAAGAGTAATTTTCAAAGTCATGAACATGATCAGATGTTTGATAACAAGTTCTAGAAGCCTTTAATCGTCAATCATTACAAGTTAATGGCAGGTCATAGTAATTCCATTCAACATGAAACTGGATAAAGTTTGTATTGCGTAACAATAACCGAAATTTTGAGGATGGAATTAGCAAAGTAGAATCTGGGGCATGAACCAATAGCCTCGTGTCTGAAAAAACATACCACCACAAGAAAGTAACAAACACATTAGGCTAAACCTTTGAGTAGTATTCAACTAAAAGGATGAACCAAGTGTAACATTTATTGCATCTCGTGTTCATCCTAATCCAACCTGTATGATAGTAGAAGAGACAAAATAGATGGAAACACAAGTGGCAAAGAAAATTTTGTATTTATAAAGGAAGACCAAATATCTACTAAGGTCTAAACTTGTATTCCAATAAACAACATCAGCAGCAAGAATATATACTAAAAAAGGGCAGCCCGGCGTACTAAGCGCCCGCTATGCACGGGGTACGGGGAAGGGTTGGACCACAAGGGTCTATCGTACGCAGCCTTACCCTACATTTCCACAAGAGGCTATTTCTACAGCTCGAACCCGTGACATGCTGATCACCTGGCGGCAACTTTATCACTTACGCCAAGTCTCCCCTTCAGGATAAACATATACTATCTGAAATAAATAAATGAATAAACATATACCTGCTATATATAAAATATAGTATACGAGGGAAAAAAGCAAGTAAACATCTTTGAACTTCATAACTGCAATTTCAACACTTCCTTCAGCAAATAGGCTTACAGTCACAGCAGTGAGTGCCTCTCCCAATTGAGGAAAAATGACGAGACTTTACTAAAAACATGAAAGTCCTAGGCTCTTAGCTACTAATTTCTTCAAAGGACTGGAGAAAGCTAAAATCTAAAATCAAAACCAGAAATAGAAACCATTAATTAAACATTTCAGCAAACAATAATACCGATGGTTTTTCAAAGAAAGGAAAATCCCCTGAAAATGACTGAGACGTAGATTCTCAAGAATCAAGCCGGCTATAGACAAAACATCTTCTATTCAATAGACAAAAGCTCATACTAATAAGAAACGCTGCTACAAAAAAAAAATCATCAACAAAATTACCGAGTATATCAACAAAGTAGCCTTCTGCATTCAGCAAGTTGGAGAGGAATGAAGCAGTGGCTCCTTTGCCTTTTGTTCCAGCAATGCGAATTGAATGAATGAAAATTTTTCATAGTTTATACCTGTTAATCCGGCCGGGCTGACCCGTTTTAAACCCGCTTCAGCCAGGGTCAGCCCGGTACTGTAGCAATTAGGGCGGGTTGGTAGGGGGACCGGGTTTTGGACGTAAGCGTTCAGCTTAACGGTGCACCTAACCCGCTTAACCCGACATCGCTTAACGGGTTGAACATGGGCTGCAGCCCGGTTACCGTTGGAATTTCTTTTCTTAAATTAATTGGACCGTTCCTAACGATCAAATTGAGAAACCATTGGGGAACGGCCAGATTTTGCAAAAATGGCCATTTCGGCCCCCCTCCCTCATTAAAAATATAGCTCTCTCATCCCTAATAATTGAAAAATTACATTTTTAATCTTTTAAAATCTATAAATAGCCCCCCTTCTTCTTCATTTTTTCTCACAATTCACTCTCTTACTACTCCAATTCTCTCTCAAGTCTCAAGTCTCTCTTGATATTATAGTTCTTAAATTCTCAAATCTCAAATTCTCAATTATTTATTATATCAAGTTTCATCAATTATTTTGTTTAGCCATTACAAAATTATTATTATCAAATATTAAGTATTCAAGTGAAGTGTGGTATCAAGTATTCAAGTATAAAGTATCAACTATCAAGTTTCGGTCTATCAATTGAAGTTTGATTTTTGATATCAAAAATTCAAAATTAGTGCGGCATCCGAAATTCCGATACACTCGTTCCATCTCTTTCTCTTATTTGGTGTACACTTATTTTATTATTTAAAATTATTAATTTAGTTTATTTATTTAATTTCTTAATTTAATCTTACTTTAATTTACATAATGAATTTACTTAGTACGGCCAAAAAAGCGTGCACTAGTAGAGGTGGTAGTAAGAAAACTTTAAAAAGCACAAGAGGTGGTGTTGGTTCTTCTAGTAGCTTTACACATATTTCTGAAAGTTTCCCTGAAAATTTAAATGTAGATTATGAGTGAATGCAAGAAAAATTTGGTGTAGATGATGATTTAGATGATATGTTAGATAATATTCAATCACCCGATAATCTTGAACACCACCACCTACACCTTGTAATGCTAGTCAAATTTAAAATGTTAGGGGTGCAACAAGTAGGCCTCCACTCCCTATTAAGAAGAATCGACGATTAAGAAGTAAGTGTTGGATGTTTTTTGAAAGACTAGAAGATCAAAAAAATTATGTAAAATGTAAAATTTATAATGAACATTATAAACATGAGTCTGGTAAAGGAGGGGGACGGGTCAACTTCGTAGGCATATGGAAGAGAAACACCCTCTTGATTGGGGAGTAGATTGATCATCTGGGCAACAAAAACTTAAATCGAATACTGGAGGGTTATTTGGGAAATACGATATTAAGAAAGATCGGAAAGAATTAGCTAAAATGATTGTTTTCAGGTTGTTTACCTTTTGGTTCTGCTTCTTCACCGTATCTTGTTACTTATATTCAAAGAATTTGTAACCTATGTTTAAAGGCATTCCTAGGAGTACTTGTAGAGCTGATATCTTTAGGCTTTTTGGACAATATGAGACATATATACGTTATTTGTTCGCAAGTCTTTCTTGTAAAATTTCTCTTACTTCTGATATTGGTCGTGCTGTGAATGGAAATGATTATTTGACTGTTACATGCCATTGGATAGATGATAATTTTTGTATGCAAAAACGTATTACTGCTTTTAAATATGATGGAGATCAAAGTCATACTGGTGCATTTATAAGTAATACTATACATGAAGTTGCTATATTTTATAATCTTGCAGAAAAAGTTTTGTGTATTTCATTTGATAATGCTTCTAACAACAATGTTGTTATTATAATATTAAAATTGCATCTACGCCCACCACTTCTTGAAATATTTCATGTTAGATATGCATGTCATATTTATAACTTGATCGTGAATAGTGGCCTTGAATTATTTAGAGATGAAATTACTTTAGTTAGGAGAGTTGTTGGTGTAATTCAAGAAAATAATAGAAGTGCTAGATTAAATACATTTAAGGAAAAATGTGTACACTACGGACTAAAACCAAGACTCATGCCTGAAGAAATAGTTACTAGGTGGAATTATACTTATTTGTTCTTAAGATGTTGTTATAAATATAGAATGCATATAACTGAAGTTGTTAATTCTCATTGTACCGATCCTAACCGTTTATTAACATCTAGAACTTGGGAAGTCATTCATGGTGTTGTACAATTTTTACAAAAATTTTATGTGGCTACACTTGAGTTTTCTGGAGCTTATTATCCTACCATTTCAAATGGTTTAGTTCATATTGCTGAAATTTCTCTTTTACTACATAATTTGAAGCAGAAAGAAGGATATGCTACTATTGTCGAATCTATGTTAGATAAGTTTAAAAAGTATTTCTACCCAATTCCCTATATTTACCTAATTGGTGCTATTTTAAACTCTATTGTCAAAATGATAAAGTGTCGCCAATTAATTAGAGCTTTATATACTTATATGGATATTGGACCAACTGAAACTCCTGATATTGACACTTGTATTTTTGAGCTACACACACATTTCAAACTTTATATAATTATTATGCTAACATTGTTGATGCTTCTTCGGTTGTAGTGCAAATATTCCTTCAACTAATCCTTCAACATCTGGAACAACTATGGATGATGATGATTGTGTTCAAGATTATCTGATTTGGTCTACACTAGGAGAGCATCAACAAACCAGTAGTAGGAATATTGATGAACTACAATTCTACTTGCAAAAGTCACCAAAGCCCCTCGAAAAGGATTTTCTACCGCTGGGTTGGTGGAGGAGCAACTCAAATCAACTTCCTGTTCTTTCGGCCATGGCTCGAGACGTGCTAAATGTGTCGATTTCAACAGTCGCATCAGAGAGCGCATTTAGCCAAGCAAGGGAGCAGCTAAGAGATACCCTCATTCATTGAGCATCAACGCTTTGAAAATTCTAGTGTGCTTCAGGGATTGGATAAGATCAGAACGGTGGAATCAAGGGCGTGACAAGGTAGACGAAGAGGAGGACCAAGAAATTGGAGATATAATGGTTTATAATTCCGATTCAACCAATGCCGGAAACCAAGAACCTCATGTTGACATGGAAGAACTTACAAAAATGATGCAAAGCATGCGATGTACTATTTCTTATTTTTTATAATTATTGTAAACTTTTAATTTGAAAGTTCTAAAATAAAAAAATAAAAAAAGAACTTGCAAATTAATTTGAAGTATTAAAAATATAAATGAAAGCCTTCGGAGTTTGTTCCTTATATTGCTTATTGGTTTTATACTCTTATTAAATAATTTGTTGTAGCCACTTACTTTCTAATTTCAATTTTATAATTTTAAAATACAAATTTCAAATTTAAAACTTTAAACTTTAAACTTCAAGGTTTAATTCTATCCCTTAAAAGTTTGCAAATACTTAACTATCAATAACATTGAATAAGAAAAATAAAATTTAATTTTAAAAACAAAGTGGAGCCCGGCTCGCCCGAACCCGCTAAGCCCGAACCCGTACGGGCCCTAAAAACCCCAAAATTTCTCAACCCGCCAAGAGCCCGTTTTCCCAGCCCGTTAACCAACCCGCCCGCTAACCAAACGGGCTGATATTTTCCCCGTTCAGCCCGTCCCAGCCCGCCCGATAAACACCCGTAGTATCACCTCCCTCTCCAAAAAAAGTAAAACCGTCTCTGCTGTGAGTTTTTCGCGTAAGACATTCCTCATTGCCTCGAGAATTGGCAGTATTTTTTGTTCACCAATCCGTGAAATGGTGCACATGGACTCGCCCAGTGGTGGTGTGTGTTAAAGCAATTGCTCTCCCCAACTATGTGCTAAACACAGATAAGTTACAGTATACGTATTAATTTATAATGATAATAAATTTAGACCTTAAACCTAACTTGACCGAAAAAAGAATAACTCCTAAATATATAAGTACATATAAAAAAAAATAGAAAGAATTACAAAAAATTACACATGACTTCACACCATAACATATCTTGTGGTAGGTATACCACCTGCTCCCATTTCATAATATCTTGTGGTAGGCGTACGACCCGCTCCCATTTTATAATATCTTGTGGTTGGCGTACCACCCGCTCCCATTTCATAATATCTTGTGGTAGGTGTACCACCCGCTCCCATTTCA